GAAGTATGAGAATTTGAAAATGAAAAGTATTAAATGGATTAAATGTAGAAACTTCAAATAGAATAGATCTGATTGTTATAAATTATGTAGTCATATTAATACAGATTACTTGCAAATTCTGAAAGCCATCAGGGTTTTTTGTTATATAATACAATAGCGTTGCAGAATAAAAGATACTCATATGTTTTACTTTTGCACAGTAAAGCCTAGCCTCTGTGTACTAATGAAAAAAATTCACAACTTACACTATGTACATAATATAAATAAAATGTGATAGCATAGTTCTAAATTCTTGTGTCGGTAATACTAATTTTTTATTGTTCTTTAAAAATGGCATTGATATTTCCCCATTTACACATGTTAATTCATTATAATTAATATTATTAATCCAAACATGTTGGAAATTAAACACAAGAAATTAAATCAAATACCAAAGGCCAAAAATATTTTTGAAAAACGAGTAATAAAAAGTCATCATACACTTTGTCCTATACTCTTGTTATTTATTCCTAAAAATGATCAATAACATTCCATACATCATATTAAAATGGGATCCCTTTAGTCTTACCAAAAAATGAGTAGAAAGACACTCCCAGTGATCAATTGGCATCTCCTCTTATTTTACTTTTCAATTCATTTCATTATACTGAGGAATTCGATACACAGGGTATTCTCAGACCACTCCTTGATCGTCAACGTCGGCACCACAATGCGGTTGTAGTGTCCTGTGCTTTAGCGTTAAACTCAGCATCCGGCTCACTAGTTACACTTTTGACGAGTGATACCGATGAAAATATGGACTTGACTGTACCAAACTACTTACTTGTATCGGATGACTTGTCTGCATCAAACGATTTCCATTGCGGTAAAACTACACCGGGAGACTCGGTGCGGAGTTTGCTATTGCCTCCGAACTTAGATTTTGAAGATGACAATCGATGACTCCTATCGATGGGGATGAGAGGCTGTAATTTTGCAGACTTCACCTGAGGGAGCGACGCTTTTCTACAGGAATCAAGGATAGGGCTAGTTACAGGTTGAGTCACAATAAGTGTGGGGGTGAGGACCCTGGGCCAAGTGATGTGTAAGAGGTCTCCTTGTAGAGCTGCTGAACTTTCCCTTTTCAATGGTGAGACATGTGAATCAGAGCCGACCTTCAGAGCTTCATCGATGAGGAAGTCCGTCTTAGTAGTTTTTGTATAGTGTGGAATGGTCCTGCGTCGGGCTTGATTCCGCTTGGTTAGTAAATCCTGTGCTACCCGACTATCGCCACTTTGGTACGACGCATGCGAAAGCGTTGATTCGTGGGATATGAGTGGGTCGGTCTCTCTAACAGACCCCGCGCTGGAGGTGGGATCATAGTCCATTTTAAGGTGGTCATAAGGAAGCGCTGGTAAGAACACATCAGTAGTAGTGTGAATATTGTAAGGCATCTCGTCGATACAGTTACTCTTCGGTAAGAGCATTTTGTCATGTTTGCCTACAGCATCCATGCATATGTTACTTGAAGTGGGCAGCACAGTTGAATGTTCACGCACCTTTTTCTTTGTTCGCTTATTTTTTCTTGATGAAAATATAACAGGTTCTAAGCGTACCCGCTCCAAGAGCTTGTTGGAATGTTTATTCGTTTTTTCTCGATTTGAAGTGCTGGAAGTATTTTTTTTTGTGATACTACTGTGACCACACGTGGTATCGGGAAAGTGTTTTTTACGATTGCTGTTCCCTTGACGGTTATATGTAAAGGACAATGATGCTGGTACGGAAGACGATTGATGGAATTGATAGAGATGGGCGACCACAGGCGTCTGAGAAACATTATTTGATTTCAGTGAGACCGGGCTCAACGGTAGACTTGATTCTCTAATAGTAGGTGAGACCCTCATATTAAATTCATGATTCAGAAGAATCGAGGCTTCATGAGAAATGGATAGTATGTCCTCAGTAAGAGTGACACTATTCCTTTCTCGATGTCCATTTTTTTCACTGGAAATCTTCAGGTCGCCCATGAGAACAGAACTATCCGATGCAGATCGCAGAACTGTTGGTTTTTCATGTTCTGAGTTCATAGGAATGGTACTCTGAACCTGGGGCTTCTCCTTTAGCCAATTCAATATAGGAGAGCATACATAGTTGGATTTAGAATCAAGACTGATTCCTTCACGCCATTGGCAGCTCTCTGCATTTGTCAAGACTTCAGAACCATCCCGCTTTATAGCAATTGGGTCTGCAGCGTGAGTATATGAAGTCTTCTGATACGGTTGCCGCTTATCCAGTTTCTCTGTGACACTTTTATTCACCAAAGGCACTTTTCCAGGAGAACTCAACACACTCTTCACATTTGTACCTCCACTCTCAGACGGCAATACAATACTTTCAGAACCACCGCTGCAGCTGCATGTGTTGGTATTATGATCCTTGTCTTTATCAGATCCCCTGCTTGTGAGATCCACATATTTCTCTGTCTCGCTGTCGTCTTTTTTACTTCGCATGCGCATATACCAATCCTGACTGCTGAAAAGGCTGCCAACGCACATCCACCCGCTGTTATTCGGTGTTGCTTTTTCTTCAGAACTAGAGTTCGATGTTGGATCTAAACCAATTTCCGTACACCCAGTTATCAAGTCTGGGGTGCAATTCATAGTGTTATTAGAGGCAGAAGCCATTCCATCGACACGTGCAAAACCACCTATTGTTATATCTCTGCTATTACAAATGTTGGCAATGCTGGTCTTTGATAAAGGGTCATCTGGTACTAGCGAATTTGATCTACAGGACTTATGGTCCACCGTCAGAAGCTTGAGAAGCTCATCCACTTTCTTTTGGTGTTCTGCTTCCAGATCAGAATCGCTGGTGTTGCTATTATCGCTGGATTGCACAGAACGTGAGCTGAGGCGATGTAGCAACTTGGGTCCTATAATACGAGCTCGCAACGGTACCCCAGTCGCAGACCCTAAGGATGAACCACGTTCACTTGCACTTATGTCTTTATTGGTTTCCTCTGGATTAAAGCTTGTAATACTTGAAGTGTTTAGCATGTCAAATACCAACCGCGGTGATCTAACTTGACCAAAACTGGGGTCAGACCCTGGTACCATAACTATGGACTGTAATGCTTGACCACAGGTGTAATTAGTATTCACATGTTGCTCTGAAGGAGATGTAACTACATCTAAAGCTGTATAATTAAACGGGGTGCATGCTGAGTCAAGTAGACCTTTGGGAAAGCTTCTAAAACTTCTGTCGACTAAACCCTCATGTGTGCGTGCTGAAAGCGTAGGATGCTGTGGCTTTGGCATAACAAATCCATGATAGGATGGCTCTACACTGGGGGGAACCGATGCCACAGCTGTAACCCCGACCATTGACAAGTCTCTGTCCTGAATCGAATCCTCCGCGTCACTAACCAAAGCACCACGTCGCACACAAGCCCTTCGGCTTCGAATGCTGCTACTTCGGCTGTGAAAGGAATTTGTGGGGTGAAAACTGTGTAGTGACAAGCCGACAACGGAATTGATGGCCATATGCGTTCCGGACGCCGCAGAGGCGGAGCTTGCGGGAGCATGCTTCCGAAGTACCGATTTAGCGTCTCGCAGCGTCTGACAGGCGGGGGTCCCTGTTGTGGAGGAAGTGGCCCCCTGCTGAGTGAACGGGGTGTGCGCCCCTTTGACCTTCCCACTACTTCGAGGACTGACTTCGGTCGGTAGCATGTGAAAAACAGAAAAGGAGGAATTACCGCTGAGACACTTGCTTGGATCAACCTGACGAAAACCATGCTGGAGTGCTGTCGCAAAGTAAGAACTACCTTCAGGTAAACTTCGGCTTTGTTGCTTTGCATGATAACTATCATAACGCATTGCATCTAATTTTTCATCCGTGGGATGCCGCAGGCGACGGCTTGTTGTGGAACTGATACCCTTAAAGTCGACCAGAGGGGTGGAATCAGATCCTGGGTTTGAACCCGCCAGCCCTTCAGAATGTTTTTTATCAAGTTCCTGATTTGTTTTTTGGTGACAACTACGTTGTCTCGAAGAAGATGCTACAGGGCTATCAGCGAATTCTTCAGAAACGAGAACTGAGTCAAGAAGATTGGAACTCCGATCCACACTCGGTGAAAAAAACGTTTCAGAATTGTCTAAAATTTGCGAATTCCCACCTATTCGCTGAGCGCATAAGCTCGAATCGAATTCTGAATTATAGTTTAGGTTGTTGGGTTCTCGTTTATTTTTATCCGGTTTCAGACGACTCTTCTTATGACTGTGGCGACGAGCACTAAATAATCCCATCCTTGAAAGAAGCCCGCGGCATGAGGAACGGGACACTTCTCTTGCACTAAGACGCGGGACGTTTGATGCCACCGCCGATGTATTTTCAACTGATCCCTCCTTACTCAACGTTGGCATGTACAAATTACTTTTATTTGTGCTGTTAACACTTTCATTAAGCGTATTTAAACCAGTCTCAGGAAGTTTATCAGTGTTCATGTGTGTATATATATATACCTAAAAACATATGCATATAAACGAATTGAAGATAAAAAATGCTTAGTATTGCTATAGTCGACACTAGTGGCCCAAGATGAATATGGAAAATTGTATACAAATACCTTTCTCCTTTTGCTGTTTTTGCTAACTTTAGAAAAAAAACTACCTAATTAAAAATCCTTTTTCTATATGTATCGTTTAAGTATACCAAACAATGACTGATTTCCCACGTCTCAACCTCAATTCATAAATTCTGATAATAATGCTAAAAAAAAACTAACAAAATGAATTTTAAAAAAGTATTAAACCACGTAAAAGCGGCTTATCCGGAGAACGAAAACTCAAGAGATCTTAACCAATCTCAAAGTAAATTTTACACCCGTTCAGCGAATCTTAAAAAAAAATGGTTGAAAAAGAATGTAAAATTACGCAAAAGTATAATGTACTATATAATATGTTCACTTTTTAGATCAACTTTTTCATTTATTCCTCTTCCTTTTGTTAAATGAATTCTATAAAGCTCTAAAAAAATGTATAATTACAACACAGCAGAGAATAAATAGAGAAATGTGAATAACTAGAAGATACAAATTGGATACCAAACCCCTTCCTACTTTGTTCAGTTTTTGTCATGAAATGAATTAAAACATGATATTAGTCAAAAAAAAAATTAAAATAACATTACCAAATCAAACCTATTATAGAATTTCAAATTCATTTAGCACAAGTAAAAACGCTTTTTTCCCCCACAGATTTGATTTGAATAGAAAAAGGTGAGAAAAGGTATGAAGATGCGATAAAAACTTCTTTGTATGCCTGAAAGTATGGATGAAAAAAATAAAGTAACACTAATAACACGGAGAAGAAAAGTTAAAAAATATTGAGGAAAAAATAGTAAATTGTATGGCTTCCTTTTTTTCTCTTTTGATTATTCATTAATATTTGAATTTCTTTATTGTAATAATAAATACAATGAATATAGACAAGATTTACGATGTGATTCCTCATTTTTTACCTTTTATATTACCATTATAAATGAATGCATTGGTAATAGATCATTAATAATTATTGGCTAATTCCTTTTAATTGATTCCTATTCCCTAACAATATCTGCTTTGTATTGCTTTTCAACATTTTGGGGAATCGATTCCTCTACATAAACCCTGTATTAGATATGTTAGTGTATAATATTTTCCACATTTGTGTAATAAATGTTTACTCTAGACCGAACTGCTGCATATGTGCTAAATCGCTTGATATAAATGGATGTAAAAGCGCCTGTGCAGCAGTCAGGCGCATCTGTGGATCAGGGTTTAGTAACTTACGAAGCAAATCATAGAGCCAAAAGCGCTGCCTCATTAACTCATTACACACCGTCTCAGAAAGTTTTGAATCTGATGGAATATCACTTGATTCACCTGATGACACATAAGGTTGCAACCCATGACCCATGCGCTTCTCTGCTAAAGGTAAAGGACATTGCCGCACTAACTCCTGTAGTGTCTTGCAGGTAAAGTAGCGTTTATACTCCACTATAGGAAGATTGTTCTTCGTAAAAAAATCATCCTTGCTGACCAATTTATAGCTGTAAGTGGTGTCATGTGTAGGTCGGTCAACGTGTTGCCCTGTTTTAGCTTTCTTCCATGCTTGAGAAGTTTCTGCTGTTGTAGATCTGCTGCAGGTTGGTCCGTCTTCAGGGAGGGCCCCGTGACTATTGACGTCTTCAACAGAGTGCTTATCATAATATATATGTGTAGAATCACCGCATTCAAGCAGAGATGCGGGAAGAGGGCCCACCATCTCTTCTATCAAAGTCAACTGATGATGATCATTGCACCCTGGAAGAAGCGGCATGCCAAGGAGCAACTCAACTAACACACAACCTGTGGACCAAAGGTCAATAGGGGGTCCATAGCTTGCGTTTACAATGATTTCAGGGGCGCGGTAATAACGCGACTGGATATATGAATAGAAAGGGCCTGCATCATAGCAACTAGAACTGAAGTCAATGAGCTTGATGTGCAGTTGCGGTATATTAAATGAAGTAGTATCGTGCATAGATGTCTCAAGGGAACTTGAACACAGTAATGAGTCAACAGGTAATTTTGTAGCATTTAGAACGCTGTCTGATGTTGACTGATTCAGAGAAAGAGTGTGATTAAGGTCATGAAGCTGTTGCAGCTTTGGCTCAACAACGCATGTTCGCTCGGCACTCTGAGTTCTTGATCGTCGCTTAAGACTTCGCACTGTGAGAGGCTCTGACAGCGTGCTTGCGTCTACATAACTACAAACTAAACAATGCATACTAGGTACTGCGGCATCATCAGACCTTGCCTTTAAGTTGGCAGCGCTTGGGGGAGTGGAGGAGCATTCTACGTTAGATGTCACTGATTTCCCACGAAAGTAATGTGATTCTTCATCGTTGTGCGTGTTTAAAAAGTCCGCGGTATATTGTCCAGTGTTTAAAACTTCTGTGGTGGCAGGTGTCACACTGCGCGTCAATTTAGCTCTATTCTGCTGCATGTGATTGTTGCTGTGCATGCCCCGGCAAGAGTCAAGGGTGAGCAATAGATTCTCTGGTTTGATATCAGCGTGAATGATGCGACAGTTCTCGTGCAAAAGGGTCAAGGCTGACAGTAATTGCTTAGCGATAGAACGAATTTGGTACATGGGAAGGCCGTTATGTTGGTGGCTTTGAATGTACTCATACAGATTGGCACCGTAGCGCTCCATCACGATGCAATGATGCCCGTAGCAAACACCGTGTGCTAGAATTTTGCCAACAAACGTACATCGCGGGTCCGATGGCGGTGGGTGAAAAGCAAAGCTCTGTGTCCGTGACATTGGAGAAGCAGCTTCAAAGGAATCATTTGAGGCTGTCTGGACGCCAATCAGTACGAGCATCTCTGCCTCCAAAACAGACTGGTGCTCGAAGAGTGGAATGCTTTTCACTACCTTGACTGCCACGAGCGGGAAATGCGCAGGTGGGATGTCACAATCACCTAGAGGAAGATATTCATGGCTACAGCTCCAATATGCGAAGTCCTCCCCGCCTATCGCACTCGGGTGAACAAAACGACCACTACTCACGCGCAAGTCTATACATAAAAACACCTGGCCAAAGCTGCCGCTGCCCAATAGAGCTACCACTTCAAGCCACCCCATCAATCGTGTTCCAACATAGACTATCAGGTCGTTTGATTCGTTATCTACTTCACGTTCAAAGTTATCAATAGAATGTTGATGACGTACAATCTTCTTGAACTGAGTCAATGAGAGGCGATGTTGCTCCTGAAAAGAGGGGCTTGTGATGCGAAACACGTTCTGCGTACTACTTCGGGGTGAAGAATGCTGTGGAGAAATAGCTTCTCGGTGGAAATCGCTTGAATCGGCCGCTACTTCACGAGTCAATAACTTTGATTCAACGTCATTAATAGGAAATTCAATCTTCTTCTCGTTTGAGATTTCACAGACGTGTACCAATGGATAATGATTTGGGGTTAAAATATTTTGAACCGAAGTGTTTGCTTCAATCGCTTTTTCAATCTTATCATTAGGGACAGTTAAGGACAAAGATAGGTTACTGCTGCTATTCCTTCTAGGGGTGGGGCCGGTACAATAATTATTAGAAAACGTATTATGAAGTTGATTGGTTTGTGTGGAACTTTCGGGAATACATGAAGGTCCACCATTAACATTGGCAGTTGATGGAAGATGTTCTGAGCAGCTCTCCGCCACATCGTTTGTATCCCCACCAGAACGGCTCGATTTGCCTAAAAGTATCCATGCATAGCGTAAAAAAACAGTCGTCAACAACAGAGGTCGCCTCTGAATACTTGCCACCACGGCAGGATCCATGATCATGTGTGATTTTTCTTGATGTTGCATCTTCACATTGGTATATTGTCTTTCCTTTGTAGTGCGTGCGCTGGGACTCTGAGAGGGAGTTTGCGTATGAAAAAAGCTACCAAGATACTGCGGAATAAACCCCATCTTCTGATAGTTTGGGTGGTGCAAACTAAGGCGATTCCCAAAGCTGTAATACCCGGATGAACGACTAAGAGCGCCGGACACTGACATGGAGGGAGTGGGGATGCTGTAAGAACATGCATGCTTATGTGAGTCGAAGCTATTAGTACCTTGAAAGTTCTTCTGAAAAAAGTTGCCAGCGCCAAGTCCAGAATCTTGGCATGCTCTACTGCTATCAAAGGATGTATAATCCTCGTAGCTGTTAATTATCTTGCTACATCCAAAATGCGTAGAACAGTTCCGCATATATGCACTGTAAACCATTTCCCACGCGCGGAGGAACTCAATGTTATCTTTCGTGCCAAAAGGAAGTGACCCCGTATCGTGCCCTTGGCGCTGCAAGTTGCCAATAGGCCGAAGCAAGAGCTGTTGATTTGCATCCTGAATTTCTTCGTCACTACGGTGACTTGTCCCAGCAAGCTCGTTGTGAATTCGAGACAACTTCGACCACGTGTTCCGCGTGGCTTCTAATCGGATAGAAAAAGAACCCGATTGTTCATCCGTGCAGGTAAAGTCTGGTTGAATTTTAACCCGAGGTGAGTGATTTAAGCCTAAACTCAAACCTCTTCCCTCCTTCCTGATCATGTTACCCTCTCCATCTACAGGAAAACACTCATGTGCATCGCCGTTAGTGTTTATAGTAAGGGGATCATCTAAAGGACTCTGAAAACATGAGGAAACTGTCTTAAAGAGAGTAGGAAAAGACCATGTTTGAAACGGCTCCATTTGTACTGAAGAAGTGTCCTTATGGTGAGCAAGCGACAATGATATTGTACCCGTTGATGCACCCTCGGGAGTAACACCTATGCTTGTCACCTCTCTTCCACGTTTTGAATTATTGAATGCACACGCTGTCATAGCGTTATTCCTTTCTATGCATGCACAATGGTGAGTGCCATACAAGTCCCTACACTGTGTGGGTGTCGGTGTCACTGGGTGGAAGGTAGGGCAATGAACCCGTATACCTGGGGGTATAAGCCTATCAGAATTGTGTACTTCTTTTGATTTCGAAAAACTTAAGCGAGGCGTATCTGTTGGCTTCCCTAAAAGAACTTCATGAAGGTCACGACAACCTTCGCCCTCGTCTTCTAGACATTTTTCACTATAGTAACGACCTGGTGACAACATTTCACATAATGGCTCATGCCGCTTTGTTGCATCTAATAACTCGGGTACCGACAACCTGATTGAGTGAGTATCAGATAATATTTGTCGCTTGCTTAACTTTTCTGAGCTGATATGTGCATTTTCCAATGATATGGTATTCAAGCCATCGTTCCTAGACTCTAACAATTGTTTACAATTAAAAACTGTTTCAGTAAAGCGCGATTCAAATTTATTACCAAACGTGTCTCTGTCATGTCTCGTGAGAGATCGAGTGTCAATTTCATCGGTACAATTTCCATTAATAACGTGTTCAAGACACGTCATCAGCGCACCTTTAACTGGAGCATCACTACTTTTGGACGTGCTTAGTCCGGAGATATGATCATGCGATAAGGCAGGGGAGATAACAGTAAGTGGTGCTTCAGCCCCTAGTGATACTGCCAAGCTCGCTGCAGCCATACGGTTGGATTGTTCTGGTGAAAAAGACATTCGGTGTTGATTCTCATGAGTGCCTCGCTCCAATACTACCCTATCGGAATTCAAACCTAAGGAAGGTGGTGTAACCGAAAACGAAGAGACCCCACGAAAGTTCAGTGTTGAAGCTGCTGTGTCATAGGCCATGCGCTCTAAAATAGCCAGAGGTATGTCCTGTGAAGCAGTGGGTTGTATCGTACGCGGTGCACGTAAAATATGTTGAACTTGGCTTTTAGGCAATGCACATGCACCAATCGATGACTGAGATAGCGTAGAGTGGCTTCTGGCACTGCCTTCATGCGAGCGACACATACGGGAACTGTCCATGCGCATCGAGGATAAATCCTGAAAAATATTCTGTAGTTCGGCACTTGAAGCCTTTACCTTGCTATCTGCGGCAGTGAAAACAGATGTTAATGTATCCGCTACTTTTGCTTCAAATTCCTCAATGGCAGGACTAAAACTACCAGAGATTAGTGATTCTGATTCTAATGGCCTGGAAACATTATTATAAAGACTGTCGTGTCTATTTGACATTCCAATGTAATACTATTGTGGTTAAGCTGTACTGGTTGCGTTATTTATAGCATCTTCTTTAAAAATCGCTCTCGAACTCACGTTTAGGACTTGAAGACGTTATATTTACTCCGTCCCCTTACACAGTCTTAATGCAACGCGATAGAGATAATTTACGTATTAGTAAAAGGCAACTTAGGCTATACTCTTTTGATGGAAATATTGTCACCTAACTAAACCAAGCGATGTGTAACACTTGGAATCCAGTGCGTATGTGAGGTTTGGGTATCTGTAAATGGTAATTTGAGCCGTGAGGCAATTAAGTATTAATTAGACGAATATATATATATATATATATATA